CAGGGGTTCCAGCACTTCAGCCATGTAAGTTCCAAGATGAGGGGCCATTCCATTCCAGGTGCCACTATAAAGATTAGAGTCTTGGTGTGGCTCCCCATGGCTAGCTCCAGGGGTTCAGGGACTCAGCCCATGACAGACCCGTCCAGCTGGCAAAACACAATCGGGTTCCTTAATTTTTTCAGGATGATTCCCAGTTTCCCCACCAAGGTTGGACTTATTAAGCATCTGGTGCACCCCAAGTCTAGTAGCGCCCTCTATTTTATTCTCCTCCCCAGAATGGGGATTAACAGTTCTAGGGGTAAGGTGATCAGCTTGATGGGTCCACTTACCAAAGGGTCATCTTTGAGGTCGCTGTCAGATGGCCTGGGGTCTCCTTCAGGTGGGGTCAGAGTTTTCCCTCTGGTTTTCAGGAATGGGCAGAACTCTATGACCTCACTGGTCTTCAGGGCCATGTCTTTGGAGCATGGTCTGGCTTTGCTGGTTTTCCTGTAGGCTAGCAATTGCTTTTCTTTGCCAGGGTTTTCAAATGGCATTCACCAGGTCAGTCACCCTCTTTTCCATACTTGAAACAAGCAATGGAACGTGGGATACTACTTGTGGCTTTGCAGTTTCACGTTTCCTGTCTGGTGGGGACCCTTTCCAGATGCAGGCGCACCAGTACTGGTTCCTCACCTGGTCGATTTCTGTCTCCTCCATCAGAATGTACCTGTCATGGAGACAATTCAGTGTCCCGCAGGCAATGCAGCCATGATAGATGTCATCATTCAGCCCATCCTTGAAACAGCTCACAACGATGTCCTCTGGCCAGTCCATGTGACAGGCCAGATCTCTGAATTCTTCAATATATTTGGCCACTGGCTGGCAGCCCTGCCTCATGGTTTTGATGTAGTCTCTGGCTTTACAGTCAGCTAAGGGGTCCTCAAATCTTCGTTGGGGAGCCATCATTAAATGGTTAGAATTCCGAAACTCCAGGGCATCCACGTTGTGGAGGGTCACCATCCATCTTGCAGTGGCCCTTTCCAGAGCTAGAGTGATTACTCAGACTCAGGGTCCCTAGGTTGGGAAGTCTCACCCATACTCTTGCATATAGGTGAGGACGTGGGTGAGGAAGAACCCCAGTTGTTGGGGGTCCCCATTGAACTTGATGCCCGGGGTGGTGCTTTTCATTTGAGCTGGGGGGGGCTCTCCCTGCTCTCACCCTGTGGATGTTCACCACCCCCAGATCCCTGCTCTCACACCCAGAGTTGGCAGGTATGGCACAGGTGTGGGTTCTACTTACCTTTACTACAGGTTTGCATCGCGCCCGCACGCTCTTCTGCGCATGTGCAGAAGCTTCTGTGCATGCGCAGAACAACTCTGATGATGGTCAAAGTTTATCCAGATCCTGATCCGGTCCGGGTCAGTGGGTGGAGCCTTCCACTGGTTTTACTACCAGTTCTTGCGAACTGGTCCAAACTGGGGGCAACCCACCACTGGTGTGGCATCTGCTCCATCCAACCCGGTGGCATTTCCAGGTGCTCCTGGGGTTTGACCTTCCTTCTTCTCTATCCCCTGGTTTCTCTTTGCCTCCATCCAGATGGTCCAGGACACTCAGGGCTCTCAGGTGCTGGAAAACTTCCAATAGGAAGCACATGACATGCTTCTTGATGTGACCCTCTCATCATCCAGATCATTGTCATCAGACAGGGCTTCCAGATCACACCTCCAGCCCTTTTGCCAACTGCCTCAGGTGAGGGTGACTCCTTTGGTTCTCTCTTCCCACTGGTCCTTCTTCCCCATGCCAACAGACCATCTCTGCTTCACGGGGTCCTCCAGGGCAGCCGGTTCCTCCACCGAGACTCCAGAGACTGCATCTGCCTGGGCTGTGGTGGTGGTTTCCCCCCCAGCACTCTCCTTCTCCATGATCACTGCCCTAGTCAAACATGGTTTGCAGGGTCCCCTCTTTCTAGAGTGCTCAGTAGAGCAAAGTTTCTCCAGATTGACCATTTTTGCAGATCCTGCTTAATGTAAGGTCTTGCCTCCCCTACCTCCTCAAGAAAGCAGAACTCTTGAAACTGGTAGCATTTCAAAAGGAACTTTTATTGGGAGTTACTGACACTGAAAGAAAAGTTTTCCAAGGGCACCAATACTATATTATATAGATTTCTGGTAACAAAGTTAATAAAGGCATTATGAAAAGATTCTAGAGATTGCTGTGCTCAAAATTTATACTTATTTATACTGAAATCAATGTTCAAAGATCTTTCTCTAGTGGGCTGAAGATATTTCTTTTGGGGCATAAGCAGTTATTTCCACCTGTCTCTTATTTTGCTGTTGGACTTATCTCTTGTCAGAGTTGCAATTGTTCTCACAGAATAATTTGTATCCTAGCTTGCAATAGGCATTCCTAGTAGGGTACAGAACATCAGGAACAGCATGCTTACAGCGATTAAAATATGTCAAAACACCATTCTATGAACCGCACAACATTTTTGCAGACTCCCAGCATGCATGTATCTATTGTTGGCAAAAAGGAATGATTGGTGCACAGAGTGAGAAAAGACTTATCAAAGCTAATCATCAGCTGGTTGATCTACGAGGATAATTTTGCCCTTTTGTTATTTGTTACATTTAATTCTGTATATTTATGTACATGAATACAAAACTGACAGCTCAGGAGGGTTATAAAGAGTCTAAAATGAGGAATGGAAGAAAAAAATACAACTAAATTGGTTTTAAGAAGTGACTGTGAAAGCACAATCACTTCTTAAAGCCAACTTTAAGAACTTTTATCCTATGTGCACCAACAAAGAATCATATGATAATAACTCATGCTAAAACAAACATGAGAAATGTAAAGAATAAATAAAACATATCCTACCAAAATACAGTTATTCTGAACATCTATTAGACAGCTACAGTAATATATTTTATATATCATACAACAACCAAGTATAGGAACAATAGAAAAATGAGCCTATTGTAAGCATTATGATTCTTATGGCACTATGGCATAGAACAAAACTAGTGTCTTCAGCTTAATAAAAATGATTTCTAAATGCACATTCTTTCATGCCCTTCCCTAATCAGTACAGATGCATACAGAAGGTCTTAGCATGAGGCTTGACTTAGCTGATTTTGCCTGAAAAGGCTAACCAGGACCAGATTAGATTAATCTTTAGATGGGAGGCAATCAATGAATCCTTGGGCTGCAGGCTAAACTAGAAAGTTGAGGAAACACCCCAGAAAAGAGTGGTGAACTATATCTGTACTATTGCCAAGAAGACTAAGTGGACATCTATAGGAATGTCCACAGGAATAAAGTTTGCCTAAGTTTTTAAAAAGAAACAAAGAGCCTGAATTATAAAAAGTTTCAATTTATAATTACTATATCACTACTTAAAGATTCAAAATGCATTTTTCAAAACCCCATAAAAAAATAAAATGGGAAAGTTGAAAAGATCATATTTTGTGGTAGTGAAGAGAAAGAAATAATGCTTGATATTATTATGGCTCTGAGTCAGATCATTAGTTGATCAGTTCAATTTATTCACACAATGTCACCAGCTCTTTAAAATGTTGAAAAATCCTACCTGGAGATACTCAGAACTGAACCAGGAATCTTCCACATGCAAGTAAAGTATTCTGTCAATGAGCAATGATCTTTCTTCAAGGAAATTTCTGTAGGAATCTTCTCACCTATGGGGTTTAGGAATCCAAATATGTGACCTTGGAGATGAAAAGCCATACGTTCCTGAATTAGATCTTAAAGTTATATGACAAAACTAAGACAAATATTTGTAAAATGTAATATATTTGTTGCACAATATGTTGGTTGAGGCTTGTTTGTTCTTTTCTGATTTCCTGAAGCTGGTATAATAGGCAAGATATAAATCAATATTTATTTTGGTTTCTATTTATACTGGCCATATTTTTTGAGCAATTTTTCTTTTCTTTCTAAAAAATTAGTTTCATACTTGTACTAGATGACATGAAAACTCAAAAGAAATTACTTTAAAGCAGAACTTTAGATGGGAAAGTGCTGGGTTGATGCTATTGCTTTGGCAATCTCATCTCATTGTGATCTTGCCAATTTGTGCAACCCATTAATTCATCACTTCAGAGTTAAGGACTCTTCATCTATGGTGGAGGTCCCCAACCCCTGGTCCGTAGACTGGTATCGCTCTGCGGCCAGTTAGAAACCAAGCTGCACATCTAGAGGTGAGCTGGAGGCACATTTTCTACCTCCAGACATGTGGTGAGTCTGCAGGGGTGGCGATTGGGGCAGGAGAGGAGCGGGGCAGAAGCCATCTTGCCCAGTGCTACTGGCTTGCCACTTCTGAGCTATGCATCCTTCCTCCTCTTCTCCTCCTGCTCCTTCTGCTACCTCTTCTTCCTCCTCCTCTTCCTGGTCCTGCTTCCTCTACCTTTTGCTACCTCTTTTTTCTCCTCCTCCTCACTTTCCTCCTCTCCCCGTCCCGGCACCCCAACTGGGCTCATTTTGCCTTCATGCAGCTTTCATAGTCTGCAACCTGGCTTGCAACCAAGGGCTTCTCCAAAAACTTGTTGGAGAGGGACCGCCCAAAGTGTGTGAAGGGAGAGTATCTTTTCCTTGGGGTGCAAATAGGAGTGGCTAGAAGCTATCTTTCCCCTTAATTGCTGCATCTCCAAGGGAATCCCTCTCTAGTTTGAACCTTTTCCAAGATCGCTGGACTCCATTGTGTTTCAACTCACATTTTTCACTTTTGTTTTGATGTCTGAGGATGTGTCATGTGTTTTGGCCAGTCTGCTTGCTTCTTGCAGTCTGATTTGATATTTGTGATTCTCATTCTCTCTCCCTCCCTCCCTCCCTCCCTCTCTCTCTCTCTCTCTCTCTCTCTCTCTCTCTGTGTGTGTGTGTGTGTGTGTGTGGGTGGGTGGGTGGGTGGGTTTATGTGACTTATTTCTAGGATCTTACCCAATAACTCCAAACACAGGATGAGTGAATCAATTCTCTTTATTGATCAAGGTTTCTATTACAGGTATTTGACTGGAAGTGACCTCTGGATGCCTTGACCATGCCTTAAGTACCTGGGAGGCGGAGCTGAGGTAAGGAGGGGTCAGGGGAGGATCTAGGTGGATGAGGTGTTAACCCTTATCATGCCTGGGGATGGACAACGGTGGGCATTTATACACAACAAATCCCCCTCTAAATGCCCAACAGTTGGACCTGCTTGTGTGTTTTGCACCTGTACCCCTAATTTAGACATAAGGTAAGCATGCTGTTTACTTGGTAGAGGTTTAGTCAGGATGTCTGCGGCTTGCTTGGCGGTCTCACAATGTACAGCCTTAATGAAACCAATGTTCATTAATTCTCTGATATGCTTGTGCTTAATGTCTATGTGTCTGGACCTTTGGCCTACAGCTTCTGCCATGGATATGTCTGTCAGGGCATTTATTAATCCCATGTTTGGCTCTGGGACTAATTACCCTGGTTTAGAGGAGATGAATCGAGGCTTATTCCAAGTTGCAATAATCTGAAAAGAAACGCGAAGGAAGGTTTCTAATAAAACTCATTTATTTGTTATAAAGAAAATAAAACACCTCACTAACTAAGAAAAGTTAATTGTTACATTTTGAAAGTAATTCTTGCCGGCTATCTGAGCCGGACCTCTGGCAAGAGAACAAAGGAAAGAGTGTGAGAGCAAGTGAAGGAATGGAATGTGGGTGGATACGGAAACACGTAGCTTACTGATAAGAAGTTGGCAAAGCTACGGAGAGCCAGACAGTCCAGAAATAATGAGCTCAGCTGGTAAATAAAATAACGCAGTGACATTCCCCTTCTTTGCCAGTTGAGCGAATATCAGTTCATCATCAAATAAGGCACATCTTCTCACGCAGATACTCATGTTCAGCTGCTGGAAGTGGTTTGTTGAGCATATCAGCAATTTGATCATGTGTAGATACATATTGCATTTTGACAAACCTTTTTTCACTAAATGTTTTATGTTTTGGTAACGAATGTCAATGTGTCTGGACCTAGAACCTGTAAAATGAGATTCAGAAATATAAACCACCGATTCATTGGCTTCCATCACTGTGATCGGTCGGATCGGGTGTGTCCAGATATCTGTGACTAAAGCATCAAAACAAGTTAGGGAATTACATGCATCTGAAACACAAGCATATTCAGCTTCAGTAGATGAACAAGAAACAAAATTCTGTTTACGTACTTGCCAATAAACAGGACATCCATTTAAGAACATCATATAACCTGAAGTACTTTTACGTGATTTCTTATCACTTGCCCAATCAGAATCTGCATAACAACTTAATTCTGCATAATCAGTATGTGTTGGTTCTAACAATAATTTCAAATGTTTAGTGTATTTTAGGTATCTCAGTAATTTCTTAATGCATGTCCAATGAAACTGTTTTGCCTTACCTACGTGTTGAGATAAGAGATTAACACTAAGTGCAAGGTCGGGTCTGGTCCAACTACTAATGTAGAACAGTGACCCAATGACTGAACGATAAAGTGTTTGATCCTTGAACTCAGGACTTTCTTCTTGTGTCAAGTTGTGAAAATCTGTTTGCATGGGTGTCTTTGTTGTGTTAGCATTTTTCATGTTGCAATGATGCAAAACTTGTTCAATTTTGTCTTCTTGTGAAAGACTAAACCCCTTCTGTGTTTTTTCAATCTGAACACCTAAATAAGTGCTAATATGACCTAATGATTTCAATGTGAAGTATCTCTGCAAAGCTTTGGCAAAAATTTCACTCATTTGCTTATTTGGACCAATATAAACAATATCATCAACATAAACAAGAACTATTTCATATGCATTGTTAGATCTTTTTGTGAACACGCACTCATCAGTTTCGGACTTAATAAAGCCCATTGAATTTAGTTTGTCAGTAAGACATAAATACCACATTAAACCAGATTGTTTCAGACCATAGAGACTTTTGTTTAGGAACCAGGTATCCCCTTCTTGCTGTCGGAATCCTGGAGGACTTCTCACGTAGATCTCTTCATCTAGGTCTGCATGTAGATAAGCCATGTCAACATCAAACTGGAAAACTTCTAAACCAAGGATAGTTGCAGTTGCTAAAGCAATTTTTACACTCTCAGTTCTGACTGTCGGTGAGTAAGTATTTGTGTAGTCCTCAGGATAACGTTGAGCGAAACCCTGAGCTACAAGTCTGGCCTTGTACAGTGACTCACCATTTGGTTTCTTTTTGATTCTGTAGACCCATCGAGTGCCAATGACCTTTTTGTTTGCTGGAGGTTTTGCAGGTGTAAACACTTTAAGTTTCTTTAGACTGTCCATTTCAGCCTGCATTGCCTCATACCATTTGTCTTGCTCTGAATCAGGGAGCTGCTTGATTTGTGTGAAATTATCAGGTGGAAGTGTGACATTGCAAATCAAAGGCAAGGGTGCTTTTGTCAGTTGCCAAGAATATCGTTGTGGAGGGATTCCTTTTGTGGCCCTCTTGGAACGTCTCGGAACAACTGTCCAATCTTCTTCTTCGTCCTCGTCCTCACTTTCGTCGCTAGCGTCAGCATCCGCGGCTTGCGAAGACGGAACATCGGGTTGAGAAGAATCAGTGGAATCTTGATCATCAATCTGCGTAGCATCAGCAGTATCATCTCTAGGAAAATAAACTCCAGGATCATTGGAATGAATCCTGGACCAGTCAATATCTTCTTCAAAATTAGCAGATTGGGAAATCATAATTGCATGTTTAGAGTCAATAAATTTGCTCCACTTTGAATTATCATCAATACCCATAAATCTCAGTCTCTTTGCTGCTGGACCTCCTTTTCTTCTTTGAGCTAAGGGAATGTTCACCATAGCATATGAACCAAAAATATGAATGTTTTTAAGATCGGACTTGTAGCCATACAACATGAAGAAAGGAGTCTGATTTGTTACACTGCTCCAAGTACGATTTACAATGTAATTTGCATACTTGATAGCTTCACCCCAGCATATTTTACCAAGGTTGGCGTCTTCTAGGAGACAACGCATCATGGTTTGCAGTACCCCTTGTCTTCGTTCTGCGACTCCATTATGAGCGGTGTGTAACGCACCGACGTCTGATGAATAATTCCATTCTTACGCATCCAGTCCTGGAAACGCTGAGACATGAACTCAGCACCACGATCACTCTGGATTCTGGCGATGCGAACTTGGTGTTGGGTAGAAACAAGGGTTGCAAAGTCTTTAAAGATCTGAAAAGTCTCTGATTTTTCTTTCATAGGATATACATATCCATATCTAGAGTAATTATCAACAATTGTTAGAAAATATTTTCTACCACCAAATGATGGCGGGAAAGGACCAACTATGTCAATGTGAACCAAATCAAAAATGCGTGTTGACAGGCGTGTAGCGCGTTTGGGAATGGCTGCTGCTTTGGATTTGGCCTTTTTGCATACAGCACAATCCAAAAACACCTTACACCCCTTTAGATCCAAACCTTTTGCGAACTCCGGCATCTTCCTAAGAACATGGAAACTGGCATGCCCCAATCTTCTATGCCATTTGTGAATACACCTGGAATGCAAAGGTTTACCTGTTAGTGAATTCTCAACATTAACATTTTTATGCGGAACCTCAGGCTTGCTCTGAGCAACCTGTTTACCAATTCTATTTTTGTTGGCTTTAGGAGCCTTAGGGGTAGCAACAGGATCTCTCTCTGGAGCATCTCTATCTGGGCCTGTGCCTTCCCTTTTTGGAGTTTGCATACTTGCCTGTGTTTGTGTTTTAGGCTTTGGCTTTAAGTAATAAACACCACCAATTAATATGGTTTCAGCAACAATATCTCCATCTTTAACTATGTAACTTGCTTTTTCAAGGTGGTGAACTTGGAACTTTAACATTCTAGACAAGTGACACTGACTAAGCAAATTACTGGTTGCTGTTGGTATGTAATAAACATCAGGAATGAATGCATCGAGCTCTTCAACATAAACAGTTCCTTTTCCTTTGACCTGACAAGGATGATTGGAAAAAGAATAAAGTTCACGTAGTTCAGATTCAGGCTCATGGATTTCTGTGAAAAGTTCCTTTCTGTAGGTGACATGCAATGCTGCACCACAGGAGTCGACTGTCGTACTCTGGTTGAGGTTGTGGATCATTGGTTAAAGCCAATGTGGCGAGTGGAGTTTGTGGATCATGCCGGGGACCACGACGACCTTGTCTTCCGCCTCTGCCTCTGCCTCTGGAATCTGTTCCTCTGGGCTGGTATGTGATGGGAGCTGGAACTCGTTGGGGACAATCCCGGGTGGCATGTCCCACACGATTGCAGGTGTTGCATCTTGGCATCCTTGGAGCATAGGTCCTTCCTCGGAAGGGGCGTCTAGCTGGAGCTCTTGATGCGGGTGGTCCTCTCAAGTGTGGCGTGGCCAACATGAATGCCTCTTCTTCAATTAAAAGTCTACAGACATTGTCCACTGTGCGTTGAGCAATTGGGACTTGGTTAATTTTTGTAACAGCATCTTTCCAGTCATGATTCAAAGAGTTAATAATGATGCTGATCATTTGAATATCTTCAATGTTATGGCCTCTTTCTCTCAATTCTGTTCTCAGACCTTTCAGTTTGGTCAAATGTCCTCCAATTTGTTCACCGGGTTTCAATCTCGAACCGTGGAGTTCAGACATGAGTAAACATGAAGATTCAATTGAGATAGGCCTGTAGCAATTTTCCAATTCAGCCCAAATTTGTTGGGCTGTTGTGTTTGGTGGAAAAGTGACCTGCAGTTCAGTATCCATGGACATCAATAATGTTGTGCGAGCCCTTATCTCTAAATCTCTTATTGCATAAGTCCAAGGTGGAGCAGGTGGGTTAAATACCATACAGTGCGTGCCTTCTCTAAGAAGCAATAGTGTAATCTCACTGACCCAGGCTTTGTAATTATGTCCTGACATTTTTAGTTTTGACTCACCAGTTAGTGGAGAGACAGAAAATGCCTGGTGAGGAGCCTGCACTTGGTATGCTGGCTGTGCTGGCAGGAATGCCTGTGGTATTTGCTGTGCCTGTTGTGGACCTAAAAATGGTCTTGGTTGTGCCATTGGAGGTGGGCCAGGAGGTGGCCCTAT